AAATAAATAAATAATAAATGCAATATATCCTATCTATCTATCTATCTATCTATCTATCTATCTATCTATCTATCTATCTATCTATCTGCACTTAGCCTTTTTTAATGGAAACTGGAAGGCAAAATGGAAACAAAACTGTATTTCTTTTATTCTTCATTTTTCCTCCCATGTCCTTCTCCAACAAAATACAACTATCCTCAGATTTCAATCAAGTACTGTAGTTACTCCCTTTCAAAGCAAATTGGGCCACATCATGCTGTTTGGCTCAGTTCAGAATTGGCTATCAAGCTCTTTGATTGTGGCTTATTAAAACCCTGACTAATCTGTTTTTACCCCTTCTTGATAGTTACAAATTGGCTGAAGAAGCAGTCTTCTTTCTTTGCTTGCTTGATGGAAACTAGGATAGATATAAAAAACCATTTTTCTATGCAAGAGAACTGTATTCACTTTCTCTATGTCAGAGTGCTTTATAAAGTATGTTTCTTTCTGTTAAGATCTGTCCTTTCCTTTTCCTTTTTACTTCCTTCATCCCTGCTTATTCAAAACCACTGACTTCCGGGGAAGAAATGGCGGACTGAAGACAGCTCCGTCACTGTGGTGGAATGAAGAGCTGGCAAGTAGACCGGCTCTTCAATAATTTCTCTCCGGACAAGGATAGGACATGAGATTACCCAACAAGTGCTCCCTACAGTTGCTCTTCACAAGAAGACTGCAAGATAGAAGTCTCTGGTGAGTTTAGAGCTCTGGGAGATGAAGGAATAACCATCTTGCTCAAACCATGGTCAGCACCTTTGAAAGGACACTAAGGGTGCATACTTCCTTTTCTAATCACCTTTGAAAATTGCAGGTTAACTGCTTTTCAACTATTAGGAAACTTTGGACTGACAGGTTTTACAGCACTGGCTGAGTTTCCTTCAATTTTTAGCAAAATAAGTTTTAACTACAAGTTTAAGAACTTAATTTTTTTTTTGTTTGAATAAAAAGTGAAAGGGTGATTAAAACTTTGATTTTAGAAAGGTACAAATGGACTAAAGATCCAGATAAATTTGAAATAAGATTTTGGAATTACTTATAAAGAACCCTTCTCATGGACAAATGCTTTTGTTCTGAATTAAAAAAGAAAAAAAAATGTAAGATTTTAAAAATTGGACACTGGATGGAACTAGAGAGAACTAAAGATTACAATTAAAAGAGAAGAACACTTAAACTTGACTTACAATTACAGAATGAAGCAAAATATTTTAACATTGGATATATTGAAGGATATTTTTGAACAGTGGACCCAGAAGTTAATTTTAATAGTGTGTGCCTCTATAGACAGACTGTGTCCAAAAGATGTTATGGAAGAAGAACAAATTCTAGCTGACAAGATCAAGACAGAGTTGAAAGTGGATTTAGAAATGACAGACTAAAAGAATGACATGGAAAAAGATGTTACATTGGACATACAAAAGAAACAGGTAGATTTACAAAAGACAGGCCGTCTTAATAATTAAAAGGGATATACAAACAACAAATCAAACTGTATAGTTTTCCTATATGCGGTTTACAAAAGAGGCTTGTTAAAGTTTTGAAGAATTTTGTGAGAAGGGACAAATAAAAAATGAAATCAAATTCTACAACATTATTTGAAGGGATTAAAGATTAACATTTTTAGAAGTAAAAGGAAGAAATATAAAGTTGTTTTATTTGATCAAGTTTAAAATAGCTTTGTTATTATCTCTGGTAACCATTAATGGACTTTTGCTGACACCAGGGCTAAAATGATGATGTTTTATGGATTTCTTTATAGATAAGAGATGGGATATGGGAAGAGATCACTTGTATTATAAGAGAAGGTGATAAGTTACTAAAATTGTTTATACTTGTGATGAAGGTGGAAAATCACTTCTTTATATATTTTTCTTTTTCTGTATTATATTTTTTATTTTTTTATTTTCTATTTCTCTATTTTCCCTTTTTTCTTTCTTTTCTGCAGTTTTTCTTTTTATTCTATTTTTTTTAGTTTGTATTAGTTTTTACTATTGTAATTATAATCTTTAATAAAATTACTATTAAAAAAAATATCTAGCCCTGCCTCCAATTCACTACCTTGATTTTTCCAATGCACCTCAGATGAACCAGAAACTAACAATCACTATATTACTGTTGGGAAGTTTACATTTAGAACGGTTATATT